TTTAACCTGGTTAAGTGTTAAGTAGTTCAAATAACCTGGTCAAAAGTGGGCTTTGACCCAGAAGCTTTTAAACAGTAGCAAACTTTTACAAATTTCATGTACTGAGGGCTGGCTCCAATATATACTTTTATTAAAAATTTATAGTCCCACCATTGATGAAGTACTGCATTTTGCCATGTATAATATGCACCTTTTAACCTTAATTTTTGAGGGAAAATTAAGGATGCTCATTATACATGGCTAGTACCTGAACTATCTTGTATCTGTTCTTATATTTTGTAATAGTTTGTTACATAAAATTTCTTGTACCATAACATGTTCAAAAATAAATGCTAAAATTCCTTTATAATACAAAAAACAAGCATCTAAATGTAAATGAATGAATGAATGAATTAAAAAATTAAAATGAAAGATATTTTTTCTTAAAGTTGGGGCCAAAAATGTAGGCATGCATTATACATGGCAGCACATTATACATGGCAGAATACAGTGCTTTCCGTGTTTTAAACGGCATTTTTCTATGGATCCTGACAACAGCTCCGTGAAGTAGGGCAGCTACTATATTTTTACAGGTAAGAAAATTAAGATATCATGAAGCTAAAAGACTCACTGAAGGTTATATTCTGTAAGTTATGCAAACATCTGCTTTTGGAGTTTCTAGCTCCAAGCTGTTTCCTTTGGACCTGGTACTAGAAACACAGAGCCTTTTGATATGTAGAGTCATCTCACCTTCAAAATCAGCTGCATTCATAGTTTTTTCTTGCATGGAGATACTGTAAAAAAGTACTCATCAACAACAACAAAAAATGTTTTTTCCCTGTTATCTTTGTGACCTGTGGAGAGCAGTTGGTGCTCATGAACTCAGTGGGATTTTGACTTTGACATCGACTCTGAAGAGCCTTGCCCTCTCTTTCCCCCATTCCTGGGCCTCCTTGCTGGGGGAGAAGCTGTAAGGGGTAATTTACAGAGGTGCTGTGTCTGTGTGGGGGTGCTCATCGCACATAAAGGAGTGTTCTAAGCTCTTCACATGTATTAATTTTAATACAACTTTATGAATTCGACATATCTTTGTTGTCTCCATTAGAGGAGGAGAACAAGGCACAGAGGTTTTATTGCACAGAGTCACATAGAAAGTCAGTGGTGGAGCTGAGGTATGAATCCAGGCTTTCTGGCTCCAGGCTCTGCTCTTACCTCTTATCCACTATGTGTATAGCCTTAAACTGGTAAAAAAGCCAGGGCTGGCAGTGTATTGTATTTGGGAATGGGGAGCCAAGGAGGATAGTCTTTTACATTTGCCAAATCCATATGTACATACTACTATGCCATATTCTGAAAACTCAACAATTACTGATAATAACAGTAATAGTAGTAGCTGTATTTTATAAGATGCCAGCTATATGTCAGGCACTATGTTGGTTGTTTTTGAGTGCCCACATTTTTTTTTTCTGGAATAAAAACCCTACAGAGGTCTCTTGTAAGGTCATGTAGTGGTAGAGATGGGAGTCAAACCAGCTTTCTTGTGAGTTCCTAAATCTTAAAATAGTTGATATATTTTTCTCTGCAATCAGACTTTTGAATAACTTATAAATTCTACCCAAATAAATTGTAATCAATAGTGGCACATTTATCATTATACCAATCTTAAAATAAAATAAACATTTTCTCCAAATCTCCCAGTATTGTGTTTCTCAGTTATGATTAGCATGCTTTGTGAAAATCATGAAATCAAAGCATGCTTTGTAAAAAGTGTTTTGCCCAGCAGATGGCATTTGTATGAGCTTTTCAGGAATGTTTGGAATCCATCACTTACCAATTACCTAATTTTGTTTTGAATACCCTGTATTTCCAGTTAATATTGGACCATTTACATAAAGAGAATGCCAGAATTACTGTAATCTGTAATCAAATCTCCCTGCTGTAGATGCATAATTTACTTTTGTTAATTGTTTACTGCAAAAATGCACTAAAAAAAATAATTCCTTTTCTGGTCACCATAATCATCTGAGGTCTATTAATCAACTCTCCAATACAAGATATATGGGAATTCTTGTAGGGACTATATTTTTAAATTAAACGTAATGCTTTCTTACTCTCAAAGTGTGGTGACATGGTGGTTAGAACCACAAACTCATGTTATGTGAAATTATTACTTTTATGGTATTCGCACACTGCTTATTTGTATATTTACAGATACAGTACACATACCTGTAATGAGTTATATGTAATGTTAAAAATGTACAAAGCAAGAAGTCATGTGGAATGGCATTGGGGTACGGTTTTTGGTTAATAACTCAAGAAAACCTCAAGATTTTTATTCTGAACGGACCATCTCTATTTCCCATCTCACAGTCTCTAGCTAATAATGTGCTCAAAAAAATGTTTGTTAAATGAATTGAATTATTTTGTTTATAGCAGTGTGGAGGAAAGAGGTTAGCTGTGAGCAATGTCACAGATGGTAAATATTTCAAAATGTTTTAGGCTAGGAAAATTCTGGAGTCCCATCAAAGAGACAGTAGATATATAGTGGAACTATGAGGTATTTTTATGACCTTCAAAAATTAAAAAATCAACCTTCCACAATTTTACATGTTTTCTGCCTCCTGGCTGCCCTTCTTGCGTAGAGTGCTTCCTTTTGGTAGGCGTTCTATGAGACTGTCCTTCAGATGAAACAGAAGTGTGAAACCAACCTCGCAAAAATGCAGTGGTACTGATTGGCTCCGTACCTGAGCGTGAACAGTGTTTTTCAATATATTCCTATATTTCTTGTGAAGATTCAGTATTTAATCAATCCCTATAAAGTAGTGTTATCTTTTCACCAGCATCATAAGTGAAAATTTTCTTTAACCTTTGAAAAACAACTGAAGTATTTTTGAAATCTCTACATGGTCATTATTATTATTATTTTTTTAGATCCTCACTAGAGTATATGCTCATAGGTTTGAGGGAGGGAGAGAGAAAGAAACATTGATGTGAGAGAGAAACATAAATCAACTGTCTAGTATGTGTGCCCCAACTGGGGATTGAACCTGTAATCTTTTTTATTTTAAATGTTGCCTCATTGCTTTACTTTTAGAAGCCATTTAAAAAAAAAAGATTTTATACCATATAATCTCACCTGTAAGTGGAACCTAACAAAACAGTCAAGTGAGCAAAATATAACCAGATACATGGAAATAAAGAACAAACTGACAGTGATCAGAGGGGTGGGGGGAGGGGCATAACGGGGGAAAGAAGGGGAAGGGTCAAGTCAAGGAACATGTATAAAGGACCGATGGACAAAGACAATAGGGTTTGGGGGAGGATTGAATGTGGAAGGTCGGGGGTGGGTAGGGCAGGAGGATGTAATGGGGGGAAAATGGGGACAACTGTAATTGAACAACAATTAAAAAAAAGATTTTATTATTTTTAGATAGAGGTAAGGGAAGGGGAGGGAGAAAGAGAAGGAGAGAAACAACAATCAGTTGCCTCTTGCACACCCCCAACCAGGAATGGACCCAGCAACCCAGGCATGTGCCCTGACTCACAATCAGCCAGCAACCTGTCACTTTGCAGGATGACACTCAGCCAATTGAGCCACAAAACTGTCAGGACTAACCTGCAACTTTTTGATGTACAGGATGATGCTCCAGCCAACCAAGCACCTGGCCATGGCTCTACATGGTTATTTTTGACATTCATATTGTAAAAGCAAAGAATAACTTTTACTCTGGGTTTTAGAAAGATAAATATATAGAGAAGTAAGGGGTGAAGTTGGCAAGTATGTTCAAAAATTCACCTTTTGTTTTCCTTTTATTTAAAATCAATCTACTCATATATTTGAGACATAGAAGGTAGCCAAATCAGCACCAGGTCTTTACATTGAAAGTTAAGCAGGTGTAATGTCATTATCTCCTGAAGTCTGAAATAATGGAGTCTCTTTATGAGGACATCTATAACTTATGATGTATGGGGTGTGTTATATATCATCCAGTGATGTCAGCTGAGCTGTTGAAAAGCACTTTAGAAAGAGCAGGTAGCTTGAATGTGCTTTTAAGGGGGGTCCCTTCTGTAAGTACTCTCACTCTCATTCTAGCGGGTAAAGGTCTCTTCAGTGTGATTGCAGAAGGGTGCTTGTCAGGCCATCTAACGTAAAGTTACTGGCATTTCCTTTTTTTTGTACCAGTACTATTCATACTGAAGTATGTGGACATTTGATTCATTGTTATATCCCTAGTTCCTTGCACAGTGCCTAGTAGGTTATTTGTTTCATAAATATTTTTAGAATGAATGAGTGAATGATCGTCTTTGTATTAAGGGTCTTTGAATTCCTTTCTTTTTGTGGGAACTAAGAAGTGTGCTAGGTCTGAGCCCATAATCCAAGTTTTGTTAGTAGCAACTGTACTTATGTTCCTACGTATAAAGAATAGGTATCCCGGGATTTCAGGAGCCCCCAAAAGTAGGGCATTCGTCCAGTTTATTCATTATGATAAGCCATTAGTTGAGGAAAATACCCAATATAATTTCCCTGAGAAGAGGCAGCCAGAGGACAAAATAAATGCTTTTCCTTTTGCTTTCCAAAATATGAGTAGGTGAGGATTAATTCAAAGTTCATATGGGGGTCTAAAAAGAACTCAAGGGAGATAATAGCACTATGGGCAGCGTGGTAAATAAATTTATAGTACCCCTGTTTAATTTTTGTGTGCCTTGGATCAGGTGAGCCTCTCAGACCTGTTGACAAGCAGTAGGGCATTTGTATGTATGCATGTGGTTCAGGGATATATAATCTGTGACGTAGTCAGCACATGGGAACTGGATGCATCAAATTAAGGTAAAGAAGGAGGGAAAAGAGAACTATGAAGCATAGCAATAATACCATGTGAATGGAGGAGAGCATGAGAACATTTTTTGATTCAGTATCATGCTTTAATGGGGCATATAGAAATGTTTATTCAGAGAGATTTTTAAATGATTCATGAAACAGTTTCTCTAACATCACCATGTATGTCTTTTTCTCACCTCAGCTGTTCCAAAGACCTAATGCGCTTGCTGTCCAGCAGTTGACAGCTGCTCAGCAGCAGCAGTATGCACTTGCAGCTGCTCATCAACCTCACATCGGTAAGTCCTTAAGCCTGTCCCTTCTCCTTTTTCGGCGTGGCCACCATTTTTGGGTACTGGCTTCTGTGAAACCCAGTAGACTGGGTTTCAGACACATCTCTCAAGATGAATGGCTTATTCCTCTTGTCCAGTTGTCTCTAGCTACATTCCTTATTTTTGGCACACCTTCCAGACCTTAACTGATGAGATTTCTTAGCATCTAGCTATTGGTGCTCTACCTCAGCTCTTCCAGGATTTACAGTATTTACTACTGTGGTGACTAGCATCAACTCTGTTGGTACAATTGAATGAAATCGATTAAATAACAGTAGTTTTGTCCATACTGGGGATGTACAGACTTTGAATGTATCAACTTCTCTTATTAAGCAAGTAGTACCAATAAATCCATTTTCCCAGTGGCATGCATTTTAAAAGCATTCTATATAAAGACTTGTTTTTAAAGTAGTTTTCCCTTCTATAGCAATTGATTTGCTGTGCATATTTTTGTCTTACTGCCTAGATGACCCCCATCCCTGGCATTTTTATGGTCTCTGAAACAAAGTGTTATTTAACAAGCACAAGTAGAAGGTGGTTTTTTTTTTTCCCCTTTCCTTTCCTAATGTGTTAAAGTGGCACGATTGAATAGAAAGGAGATTGCCAATCACAGATTGTGATATGCTGTGGAAGAAAAGACTTGCTTCCAACCTAGATATATTAAGGCCAGGCATAGAGGCCTTTGTCTGGGTTTGGTATTTTATGCTTGTAGATAGTTGTCTTTATAAATACTCATACATTTTCTTTGAGAAAAACTGCTTGGAAAATTGTATTAAATGGTAATAAGCTCTTCCCTTCATTCTTCTACAGCGTCTTTTATATTGCTTTGTTTTAGCTTGTTACAGCTTTAATTCTCTTTCAGAAATTGTGCTGAATTTAAAACTGCAAAATAGTTTTAATTGTAATTTTTTAACAAAGGTTAAAAAAAAACAAAAGATAAATGTCACCATAATCTTTAGTATAGAGATCATTTATTTAAAAATTTTTTTCTTTAGTTTCTACCTATCCTATCTTTATTTTTCCTCATCTACAGCCTGGAATGAATAGTCAAACTATGTAGGTATTTGATAGGGCTGTAGTTTTAGTCAAGTTTGTTTTTACTGACAGGTATGTTTTCAGCAGGTTTAGCTCCCGCTGCATTTGTCCCCAATCCATACATCATCAGCGCTGCTCCTCCAGGGACGGACCCCTACACAGCTGGATTGGCTGCAGCAGCGACACTAGGTGAGACATTCTGATGCATGATGGATTTTTCTCACCTGCTGAACATCGTTTATATTGGGCCTGTGTTCTTTGTATCCTTTCACAAAGTCCATACCTCCAGTGGGGATTTGTCCTGACTTCCACTGCCATCTCCCTGCCAGCTGGATAGCTCTGCTCAGCTGTAACCTCAGATTTGAATATGCCCAAAGGCTAACTGAATCAGCCACCTCCTGTATAGGTGTTTTTTTCCATGAAACCACCAGTATTTTGAAAATTTCTCCGCTTGCCCAGTTCTTCCTACTATCTCTAGCCTATCAAAGTTCAGGTCCTTATATGGTTTACCTAGACTTTTTCAGCTGTTCCTCCTACTAAATTTCCTTGCATCATCCCCCTCCTCTGTCTCCTAAAAATGTTTAAGAAAACTGTCTCAAGCATAAACCTTATCTCTTTATTCTTCTGTTTAAACCCTTCATTGCTTTCTGTCTTATGTAGCCTAATGTTTCATATGGTGGTTATCAAACATGGCTGATCATTATAACTTACTTGGGTGGTGATGGTGCTTTGTTCTTTGGAATCCATATTATCAATGGCTTGTACGTTGATGCCTTCACATGTGCACCACTTTCTCAACACCAGATTGGCTAGTATTTGCTCACACCATACATTCTAGCAATGCTAAACTGATTTTAGCTTATTGTAGGTACCATGGTGGTTTAGGTCTTGGTGTCTTTGGAACACTGTGGTCTCCCAAGTAAACTCTTCCTATTCTTTACCTGGGAAGCTCCTTAGTTGGCAATGCCACCTCTAGAAAGCCTTCCTTTGCTAATAACCCTTTTCTATTTTTTCTTTATTATTATTTTTTTGCATATATTTGCTTGTGGATGTATACATGAGTGGGTCGTCCCCCCCTGCTGCCCCTGCCCCCGAAACTGAACTCTTTCAAAGGCAGGCTCTTTTATATTATTTTACGCTGGCATAGTTGCTGCTACCATAGTGGGGTCATAAATGTATAGTAGATTGAATTCAACATTAGGGCAAACTAAATTTCTTCCAAAGTATTCTTGGGGACAGATCTTTCCAAGTCATATTAATCATGACTACATATCATTTTTAAGATTTCACTTATTATAAAGCATGTGATTTGCAATTATGAACTCAAATGCATTGTAGAAGTTCACATTATTTTCTTTAGAATTGTTGACATTTTGGCATGGGATGTGGTGGGAATATGTAATGCAGTTCCCCTGCTCACCCATGGCCTTTGGGGGAGAAATAGAAAGCTCTTCCTAAGAATGATCTTTGCAAACTACCATTAATATTTATTGAACCCTTATTAACTATTTTCCAGGCCTAATACTGAGGGTTTTTGCTTTGTGGGTTGCTACATGATAATTTTATAGGTTAGGAATTTGGGGCCCAGAGAGTTGTCTTGTTTGAGATCACATGTTTAAATGTAGAGTTGCGGGTTTGAATCAGCTCTGACTCAAAGCCCATGCATGCACTTCACTATACTATTGGGCTGGCCAAAAGAGTCTGTTTAGTGTTTTCCGTAAAATAAAAGACACGGCTTTCATTTTCACCCATAACTTTATTGATTTGGATATTTCGAGTGTGTCAGCTATCCCCCTCTATTGACTTCTAGTTTGAAGAGGCCAGGGGTGCTGAGAAACATTTCCCCGTGTATAAGACAGCCCCACAGCAAAAAATTACTTGGCTAGAATGTCAGTAGTGTCAAGAAATTTGCAAACCACTTCTTTAATGTTCAGTCAGTCATAACACCTCCATACACTGCACTAATCTTTTTTGCATTTCAGTTGCATTTTTACCCTTCTTGAAATAATAAAGCATACTATACCTAATGTGGTGTATCTTCTTCTTCTTCAATATTAAAATGGCTGCACAACAATTCACCAATTTTGATAAGTTTTTTTTAATGCATGCTGATATGACAGCTGTCATAGTACAATATAACAAAATTGTTTTGAACAAAGTTAAAGACAACTTGGCACTACTAGAGCCATCGTATGGAAAAAACTAAACGAACTTTTTGACCAGCCTAATATCTATGTTATCTTAAAATATCTTTTCGGTACTTTCTTTCCTCTACTAACTTACTATGTTATTTGAAACAGAAAACTTGTCTCAGTTCTCCCTGACTTTCAGTCCTCACTGAGATCACAGTTTGGTGATAAGAATCTTGCTTTTTTGACTCATTAGCTAAACCAGACTGAGAATGACTTTAAGTGCTTTCATGCAGAACTGGACTGTTAAATACCCAAACTGTGAAACTACATTCTTATGGAGTGTCAGTCATGCAGGAATTGAAACAGACACCCTGATGAATCAAGTTCAAGTAATGATGCACTCTGGGGTATTTTCCTAAACTCAGTCATAGGCCACACGAGCGGGAAAAGTAGTAGGAATGTCAGTTAAACAAAATACAGAGGTCAGTTCAGATGCTTATGGTAACAACAGTCAGTGCCCCGTAGAGGTTTGCTTTGTTGGCTTTTGGGGGGACCTTGGGGATATTATTGCAGGTTGCAACCTAACCTTTCAAGGAAGGTGTGGGAACACCCTAACATGTGTTACACCTATTTTGCATGTGAGGAAACTAAGGCATAGAGTCTTTGTAGTGTTTCTTACTTCATTCTTTTCTTTAAATGGCCAAAACCACTTTTCTTTATAAATACTAACCATATGAGTTTGGGGGCCAGTCACTCTCTTTATCTTGTAGGTATGGCTTTTGATAAAAATGTTTTAACCCATTTGTTTTTTATAGTAGTATTGCTGAATTATAACATGGCTTTTGTAGGCAGTTGTGGTGTTTCACAGTGGGGCACCATTATAAACAGTGCTTCCGGTTCTTGGCTGAGCCCACTGGTACAGAAAATGCCAAATTAGAAATGTCAGAACAATGTAATTTGACTTATTTGTGTTTTAGAAGCTTAAAACAGAAAAGACAGAGCAATTTATTTTGTCTATTAATGAAGTATGTGTTACTATAGGGTTAATGTTAGAATAACTATATTTGAAACAGCTCTTTGGAACTCCACTGTAAGGTGTGGTTATTAATCAAGTTGTAAATATTTTAAACTCTGTTCTTTAAGAAAGTTCTAATTGGAGATGTGTTCAAGCGGACTTGAGGAGCTGGCTTTGAGCCTTTGTCTTGGTTGGCAAGTAGGCAGCCCTGATATTTCTTGCTACCTGCTTCAGAGAATTCTGTGGTTTAGATTTCTCCCACATCTAGGTTGCTGCCTGTATAGCTCAGTTACTTCCCTATTACCTACTCTGTGGCAAAGGCTGCAGCTGCAGCTGTTGCAAAAGAAAGTGAACAGATAATTCAGTTTAAAGCAGAAAGCCTAGTTGTGTTCAGGAGCCTGAGCAGGTCTTTAAGAAGTTAAGGTGTTATATTTTTTGTTTTTATTTATTTTCAACTTTGACTTAAATTTAAAATTTCATATATCAATGTCTGGCTGTAGTTGTGTTGAGTGCCTTTTGTGACACTTTAAAAATAGAAATAGGAAAACTAAACCTCTCAGAAACTGAGCAGTGGAGGGTCAGTGGAGTGTCTGGGGCTTGCTTTCAGAAGGCTGATGGATTTTCATGCTTTTGGAGTTGATGAAGCACCAGGACCACTGTTCCTATTAATCACCTCTGGTGCCATCCTTACTGTTGAAAGCAGAGTACAACTTAATTTTTTGTTTTTTTCCATCACTTTAGGCACATAAACTCTACATTCATTTCCCTTGTAACAACACTTTTTCTGTATCTTTCCTATATCCTTTCTTTCTTGGGGAAAGGCATGCCTTTGCTTTCTTCCTGACTAAAGCTAATTCCTCCTTGTAGTCTTTTTTTAAAATTTTATTTATTTACTTTTAGAGAGAGGGGAAGGGAGGGAGAAAAACAACAATATGTGAGAGATACACGATCTATATTGCCTCTCATATGTCTCCTAACTTGGGACCTGGCTCACAACCCAGGCATGTGCCCTGACTGGGAAACGAACCAGTGACTTTTCAGTTGCCAGGGTGAATCCACTCAATCCATTGAGTCAAACCAGCCATGCCTCCATGTATTCTTAAACCCACTCCTTCCTGCCTCTATGAGTTATGCTCCTTTTTGCTCTGTCCAGTGTTCCCTCCTTCATTGGCTTCTTTCTCTAGGGTTGGAGTACATTACTGACTTCAGAAGACTTTGGTGTAGGGATCATGTATAATATTTTTTATTTAAAAACATAGAATTAATGATTAACTAGAATGAATCGCTGTATTTTTAAATTAATATTTTACAGGAGGATCTGCTGAATCAGGTGTAGTCTTTGGAAACCCAGAGATGAGTCTTACCAATCTAAACTTTTTTTCCCCCTTTCTCTTGCTGTTTTTAGGCCCGGCTGTGGTCCCTCACCAGTACTATGGAGTTACTCCCTGGGGCGTCTACCCTGCCAGTCTATTTCAGCAGCAAGCTGCTGCGGCTGCTGCGGCCACAAATTCTGCTAACCAGCAGACCACCCCCCAGGCTCAGCAAGGGCAGCAGCAGGTAAATGTTAACAAAATTTATCCTGTATAAGTGTGCATTTTAGTTACATGTAATTAAAAGGTATTGTTGGTCCAAATAGAGAACACTGAATGGGCGAGTTCCCTCTCATGCTTGTATCTGAGTTCAGGCTCAGACTTAGCTATGCTTATTAATCCCATTTATGAATCAGGTTCATGGTCAGTGTAACTAGTCAGTGTAAATAATGATATTATACAATTTATATGTAAGAAAACTGCTTAGAGAAGTGTCCAGTGAAGGATACATCATTAGCAAGAGTCAAAGTATCATAGTGATAGTAAATTTTCTTTTTGCAATACTGCAGTTAACTGCTAAGCACCATTCTCAGATCACCTCTGTCTCTCTTAACAGATAGCTTGCTACGAAAGAGGGAAGTACTGGTTCTTAAGACTGTTAAATTATAATATCTATTGGGTTGCATATAGATCTTAAACCTATTATGTCTGTTTTAATTTATAGTAATAAGAACTTTTAAATTGAGTTGGGAAAGGATAATAAAATTTAAAACTGAGTATGTTTTATATTATTTTATTTTTCCTCACCTGAGGACATGCTTAGAGGGGCAGGAAGGGAGAAGGAAAGGGGGAAACATTGGTTGCCTCTCACAAGGCTGCTACTGGGATGGAACCTGCAACCCAGGCATGTACTCTGACCAGGAATCAAACCTGGGACCTTTTGGTTTACAGGATGACGCTAACCAACTGAGCCACATCAGCCAGGGCTGTCTTTTTAATTTAAATAGACCATTTTCTCCTCTGTACTAGAATAATACCTATTGCTGAGTATTGTGGTGAACTGGAAAACTCAAAACCAAATCACATATTATTTTTAATATAAGAAGAAACCAATATTAATGCTTGGTATCTGTTATTGTAGCATTATTTAATGAAGTTTTTATAAAATGGAATATTCTGTTCACATGGTTTTATATCCTGCTTTTACAGTTTTCCATGTTATTTAACATTTACTGGTTAAATTTAAATCCATCAAAGAATATTGTATACTTTTTGACCAATCCATTATTATTCGATATTTAACTTAGCGATAATTTGGTGTTTTAAATAACACTGATAAATATGCTTTGCACAAGTCCTTTGCAAATTATTACCATGGGCTAAATTCCTAGATGTGGATTTTTTTCTCTACGTAAAATAATTGAGTATTTAAGCTTCTGATACGTACTATCAAATTAAACTTGCTTTTGAGGTGAAACACCATGCTCATATATATATTTTTATGATATAATCCAAACAAAAATCCTCTGCTTTTTATCATTCTCAAAAAAAGGTATGTTTATTTCTTTAGATTTCACTAAATTATAGGAAAACACAGGTTTTGAAATTCCAGCTAGTTTATCTTGGGCCAGTGTTTCTATAGTAAGATAAATTTTGGGAAGCTAATGCCTGATTTTCTTTGCAATAGATAAAATTCTACTATCAAGTATGTAAGGGAATTCAGCAGAGAATTTGTTAACAGAAAGAAAGGGTGATCCCTATTAATTAATTTCTTCATAGCTACTCTTTGTAGATAGTCTGTATTTATTTGTGATGATCTTTGTGTTTAAATGGCTGCCAAATCCTAATGGATTTGAAAGACTAAAGTAATTGCTGTGTTTTAAAATTAGTTCTGATAGGGTGAGCAACAAAGATAGTAATAAGTACTTCTTTTTGAAAACCTTCTCTTTAAAGCTAAGTGCTCTATGTATAATGTTTTCTTTTTAACTTACTTTGATTCTATAGATTATATGAGTCTCCATCATAAGATTGAAGAAATGGAGTATGTGTGCCTAGGATAACACAAATATTCAGTTGTTAAGATTTAAACACAAGTCTATAATTTCACAGTTCGTGCTGTTTTCTGACCGTATTGTGATGTCTGGAGTTATGTAAAACTGCGATCTGGTTTTTCTTCAACCATCAACTGGTTGCAACTAGGGAAAATTGTATGACTTTTCTGCATATAGATTCCTTAGCTATAAAATGAGCATGATAATCATTTGCAATTCAGAGTTGTTTGTCCTCTACAATTATAAATCCTACTATGAAAAAGTTATTAGCCTTATTTTTAATAAGCAGCCATATTTTAGTCCTAATGTTATTTTTGTGTCAGTTTTGGTTTCATTTATTTTCAGAAAATACAATTTTTCTTGGTGAACTCTTTTGTCATAATCATTGAAGTGAGAGGCTCTTTCTAAACTTTGCTTTTGGCCTTTTTGGACTGTATGTTTTACTGGAAAGCATTTGTTGTGTTCTAGGTACACTGTTCCAAATCTAATTGCTAGAACTCAGCAAAGTCAGCAAAGTCCATCCATTCCACTTAGTTCTGATTTCTTTTTTATCCATTTTGAAGGTTCCTTTGACACCTCATAGATTTTTTTTCTTTTCTATTTTAAAATACTTGTTTAAAAAAAAAGAAAAGAAAAATCCTGAGTGTTGCGTTGAATACAAGCACAGATAGCATTTTGAGAGAGGAGAGCTTAGAGTGGTTTCTGAACTTTCTAGATTAGGGGAGACTGTAGATATGGATTCTATCAAGCATGGTGAACCGTGGAAGGATGAATAATTATTACTTAAAATACCCCATGGAATATCTGATTGCTTATTAAATATTATTAAATTTCAAACACTGTTTAAATTGGTACCTTTGAAATTACAACAACAGCTTTTGTATAATGAAGATAGGTAGTAAACTAACTCCTTCGATGGTGTTTTACAAGTAGATTTTTCAGACATTTTTGAATGATTTTATTAGATGCTAAAATATTAATTGTGAAATTTTATATATGTTTTCATAAAACCCAGACTTGTTACTTATTGATGAAATTAAAATATATGAGTATTGGCAGCTGACTTAGGAACTTTTATTTATCAACAAAGTACTGTATCGATTTCTAGAGAGTATACCATACTGAAACCTGCTGCTTCTCATTAATACAGGATTTGGTAGTCTTGGACCACCTTTTTCTTCAGACCCCTTGTTCACTCCTCTGGCCCCTGAGCTTTTGTACAACTCCTAACCAAACATTAGCATAGTTTATTATGTGCAATGAAAACGATGCTTGCATAGATGTTTTCTAGTTCTCCAGTAGTTTTGAACTGTTAGCATTTGCCATATCTCTGTACATGCTGTTTACTTTTCCCAAAGTGAAACTCTTCTGTGTTGCTGGTTAGGCATCTTCTAAGTCGTGGCCCACTCACTCACCTTGCCTGATAGTTTTATAGTAATTAGCTATTGGTTACTAATTAGCTCCTATGTACTAGGTATGTGCCTTGCAGACAGTAATTCTCATACTTTCAACACATTTGCAAGATAAGCTGTTACTCTTACTATAGTTACAAATAAGGAAATAAGAGACTTTGGGTAAATTAAGTGTCATCACATCTCTTCTTGCCATTATAGACAGTATTGTTCAATTTATGCTCATTTAATAAATATTTAATTGATTCCTAGTGGTGTTTCTCGTAAGTTTTTTTACCAAATGGTACCAAGAATAATCTGTACCCAGGCTCTTGACCACATGTCTAACTGTTAAAAATAGCGGAATGATAATGAAAGTGATCTGATAAGCACTTTGCCTTTGAAAACATTGCAAAATGTATTTGTTTATAAACTTTGGTCTGTGGACCTTGCATTTTTACTTGCTGTAGTATATAGATTCTTCAGAATATTCAGGATAAGATGATCTCTGAGTTTCATCTAGCGTCTTGATATCTGTGTTTCATTAATAAAAAGTAAATCCGCCCTGGCTGGTGTGGCTGAGTGGATTGAGCAACAGACTGCGACTGAAAAGTTCGTTGGTTAGATTCACAGTCAGGGCACTTGCCTGGGTTGTGGGCCAGGTCTCCAGTTGGGGGCATGTGAGAGGCAATCAGTCGATGTATCGCTCACACATAGATGTTTCCCCCCCACGTCAATGTTTCTCTCCTCTTTTTCCCTCCGTTCCCCTCTCTCTAAAAATAAGTAAGTAAAATCTTTTAAAAAAAATTAAAAAGTAAACCCTTTATTACAGTGGCAGAACTGGTATTTTGCACTAAAATGTCAGTGTTTTTGACTAATACTCATTTCCATTTAGATAGCTGTGTGTTTGTGGAATTTATGAGAGGAGAAATAGAAATAGGTCAGAAGCCTCCTAAATTCAATCTGGTGAGCTCACTTGGGCTTTGATGAATGGGAATAGTGTTGTAGGGTAGAGAAGATGTTCTCATATTCCATAAAGAAAATCTATCAATAGCTTCCTTTGTGTGTTGTTTTTTGTCACGGATATTTTAACTTAATTTTGAGGGTAAATTATCTTCATTTTATCTAAATCCTCCACTCCCCAACTCCATCATACTCTTTTTCTTCACTCACCTTTTTGTCAGAGCCAGTGACATTATATTATAGAGTTACTGTTTATTGTCTGTCTCATTTACAGAATAAAAGCTCCAAGATGGCAAGGGTTTTGTTTTTCTCATTCTTTGCATTATTCCTAGTACCTGCCAGATGGTAGGCATTAAAAGCATTTGATTAATGAATGAATCATCACTTTTATATGCCTTTGGCTGCTTTATAAAGGTAATATGTTTAAACCAAGAGTGGTAGAATGAATTTCATTATATGAAATGTTACTTGAATTTTTACCCTAACAGCTATGACATATAATAAATGCCATTATAGGAAAAATGTTTTTACAACCACCAGTTCTTAAAAGTCGACTCAACACAGACAACAACAGTATAGTGGTTGCCAGATGGAAGGGGGTTGGGGGGTTAGTAAAAGGTGAAGGGGGTTAAATATATGGTGACAGAAGATTTGGCTTTGGGTGGTAGGTACACAATGCAATATAAGATGATGTATCATAGAATTGTACACTTGAAACCTATATAATTTTATTAAACAATGTCACCCCAATAAATTTAAAAAAGTCAACCCAGCTTAAGCCTGTGGAGGGTTATATATCTAATGAGAAGAAAGTAGTTGATTTATTTCTGTCTCCCAGGTTCTCCGTGGAGGAGCCAGCCAGCGTCCTTTGACCCCAAATCAGAATCAGCAGGGACAGCAAACAGATCCACTAGTGGCAGCTGCAGCAGTGAATTCTGCCCTTGCTTTTGGACAAGGACTGGCTGCAGGCATGCCAGGTGAGGCTGCATTGTTGTTCCTATACTTTGAGGGGAAAAAAGTTGGCTTGTTGGGAGAGATTCAGAGAATGGGCGGTGCTTTTAGCTCGCCTAGGCTTGTCATGATTTGGGAACTGGCAAGGATGACATATACTTGCCCTCACTTAGATCACATTTCGTTGATGAGAGCACCTAATTGTTCTGAGCCAGTCTTAATCTTAATATAGTGGAGATACGCACATCTTCACACATTGCTTAGAATGTGCTATTTTTGTTGGTATGATCTATTTTCTCCTTCAGGATTTGGGATAGATTACTCCAAGGCTTTAGTATCTATGCTGATGTTTTTGAATAGCATTAATAGGAAGAAATTCCTGGTATTTCTTGATAGTGTCTTCCCTTACATTTCTGGGATCGCTTCTGAACCAAGAGTAGAGATGCTTTGGGCCTGCTTATGTATGATTAATATATATCTTGAATATATGTTATTTTAGCTCACTGTCACCTGGTCCTGTTTTCATGGACTGGATATAGTTTGAGGTTCTTCCTTTGAAGCAGGTCTTTATGAGACCTCAGCCTAAGTTTTATGTATCTTACTGACTGTGGAGCATAGCCAAATTAACTGATTCATTTATGAATTTAGTACATTTAACTTGAATTATTTGTTTTGTTAGTTACTAAGCATTTATGTTTTACTGAGAAGTCAGCTGTAATTTCTTACATGGGTCAGTAGGATTTGGAGATTTCCATCTCATGGCATTAAAAGATCCTGTTAATTGAAGCCTGTCTGTGTTTTTCTTGCTGACTTGCAGCGTATTTATGCTTAGATTAATATGTGGTATGGAAGTACTATGATTATTGTAATCATTTGTACCCTCTGTTATTTGTATAATCAAGAAAACATTAAAAAATTCTCAGTGTATGATTGCTGGTGATAAACCTGGGTTAGCACTTTGAAGAGTATAGGTATTTTCTGTCATGCCAAATTTCCTTTCTAACACCTAGTGCATGATAAATAACACTAGTCTTAGTTTGTCATATATCATGCTAGATCTTTCACATTCATCTTTTAGCTTAATCTTCACAAGAACTTAATGGGGGCAGGTATTATTATTATCCTCATTTTATAGATGAGGAAATGGATAATTAGAGATTCAGGGTCATACAGCTATGTAAGTGTTGATGCCAGCATATACATCTAGGTCTGTCTGTACCCAGAGGTGAGTTTGTGACTATTTATAATGTGCTGGTGCCCAGGAGACATTTGTTAGTTTTATATATACTTATATGTTTGCTTGTTATTCCTAGGTTACCCGGTCTTGGCTCCTGCTGCTTACTATGACCAAACTGGAGCCCTCGTCGTGAACACAGGAGCGAGAAATGGCCTTGGAGCTCCTGTACGACTTGTAGCTCCTGCCCCAGTCATCATTAGTTCCTCAGCCGCACAAGCAGGTGAGCTTCCGTCAGAGATCTAAAAGGGTGATGAATGACATTCTTAAACTATGTGGAAATGCATTTTATTTGACAGTTTTCAATATAACAATTCTACCCTGTAATATTTCAAAGGGAATCAGAAGCAGAAAATCACATCAATAGATTCTGATTTTGTTGATGGCCTATATCAGTTGGTTAGCAGCAAGGACTTATTCCACTGCAAACCTAGGAGGTTAGATTACTTATATAAAATGGTACCATTGGCAGAAGTTCAAGGTTAATTTCACAGACATCCATGTCATTATTTGAAAATAATGTAGGTTTTTTTCTGTTTTTGTTTTTGGTTGTTTTTGCAGGGGCAGGGGTGGGAAGTGGGAGAGGAATAGAGACGTGACAGAACAATAAATTTTGGTTGGGAGCGGTAGCAGATATGATTTTAAGCTTTATGTAATTAGGAATAATAGTGGGAAGATCTAGAAGAGAGCAACATGCTTAAATGTCTTAGGAATTTATGGGACTTAATATATGATTGACAGTGGTTCTGAAAAAAAAGTCTTCAACATAGATATTTGTAAAACATGAGATTTTGGGAAATAGTTATATTTAAAATGGATATATTTGATATTTGTACCTGTTTTAAGCTACAGACTCTTTAAAGTTAGCAATTCAAAGTAGAAATAGAAAATAAAACTTCAGATGAAGGGATCAAAGACAGGTCTGTATAGTTCTTTATAAGGTTTGTGTCACTTTGAAAAGATACAGCAGAATTAAAAGATTTTTCAAAAAAAGATAACAACGTAGTTTGGAAATGTGGCCAATCCCTTGTAAAGCTCAGTGGTTTGCTTTCTTCTTTGTAGCTGTTGCAGCGGCCGCAGCTTCAGCAAATGGAGCAGCCGGTGGTCTTGCTGGAACAACAAACGGACCATTTCGCCCTTTAGGCACCCAGCAGCCTCAACCCCAGCCCCAGCAGCAGCCCAGTAACAACCTGGCATCCAGCTCTTTCTATGGCAACAACTCTCTGAGCAGCAATTCCCAGAGCAGCTCCCTCTTCTCTCAGGGCTCTGCCCAGCCTGCCAACACATCCTTGGGATTTGGAAGTAGCAGTTCTCTTGGCGCCACCCTGGGATCAGCCCTTGGAGGGTTTGGAACAGCAGGTAGAAATCAGACTGATGTGCTGTTAAAACTGAATTTTAATTATTTTTGCAATCTTTATGGAACACTGACAATGCATGGAACCATGGACAGATACCACAGGCAGATCTGGACCGAGCCCCGTGGGAATCCAGCCGTCCCACATATCTCTGAGATGATGGACTATTAAAGTCAAGATACACAGTTGGGGCCTGTTTCAGGTTTACACTCGTGTTGCTGCTTATTTGTATCTCAAAGTCAGTTTGTCACAGGGATTAGAAAAGCAGGGGAGATTTTTGCAGGCATTGGGGAGAACATGGAGGGAAACATAGAAATGTGAATGTTAAAAACAGGGAGGACAACTTACCAAAGATCACAGGGTAGTGGACTCCACAATCTCCAGGCCTTAAAAAGTCATGAGTTTTCTGCAGTCTCTTGAGAAGAATTAAGGTGGATATTATGGAAAAATGGGAGGAAGGAAATTAGATCAAGATATTTTTAACATTTTGATGGGAGAAAAAATCAGGAAAGCAATAAGGGAAACAATGGGATAACTACAGTGTTTGTAAAACAGTGTGATGTCAAAAAGAAGGGCGTGTTTGAGAGAAGGTATCTTACATTGGAATTGGGGTCTAGTAATAACTCTTGATTGAACAAACCTATTGAGAAAACAGGCTTTCATATATGTCTTGTGTATGGGGCAATACCCCATTTACACATCTGTTTTCTGTACTCCATTTTTCTACTAGAACTTTTGGGTTGATGAAAGGCATTCTTTTTAGCCCATTTTCTTTCACCTTTTCCATAGCTTATGTGGCCGTCAGAGCTTTTTAACCCACCCCACCCCATAATATATGACACAAAGGGAAGGTAAATTTGGCATATGTGTAATGGTTTGAACAAAAGTTTCATGTTAACCTGAGCCATGTCCTCTTTATTACCTTACCTGCCCCTAGAACTGCCACATGAACAATTAGGGTCGTCTCTGCTGACAAATTTGCAGTGGTAAGGAGTCTGGATCAAAGTGTTAGGAACAGGTCACTGGGCTTGTTCGTCAAAGAACAGGCCTGTTCTTATCTGCATTGTTTTAATTCCATTTTAGTTGCAAACTCCAACACTGGCAGTGGCTCCCGCCGTGACTCCCTGACTGGCAGCAGTGACCTTTATAAGAGGACATCGAGCAGCTTGACCCCCATTGGACACAGTTTTTATAACGGCCTTAGCTTTTCCTCCTCTCCTGGACCCGTGGGCATGCCTCTCCCTAGTCAGGGACCAGGACATTCACAGACACCACCTCCTTCCCTCTCTTCACATGGATCCTCTTCAAGCTTAAACCTGGGTAAGAACCATTACTCTACCACCACCTTGAACTCTAGAAATCTCTTGCCACTGATGCCATTAGATGTACTTTGCATATGCAAAGGACAGTCCCTTTATCCTGGAAGTGTCCTGGGTGTTCTGTGCCTTCCTTGAGTACCTCACGTTATTTAGGCTGTACCTAGATAGCATAGCAGTTTTGGATTTATTAAAGTTTGGGTGTATCTCCTGTATATTCACTTCAGCTTTAGTACAAACATCTTGTTCTTTGGCTACATGTGAGACTCTTTCATTATAAACACAGTACAGATTTATTTTGAGTAAAGCTGGGAAACAGAGACATATAGAAAAAGAATGTATTCAACTAGTATTTCCACTGAAATAATACCGTGATTATTATTTTGCCTTATTTGTCAGACTTCTCCCCATGTATACATTTAACAGCTTTTTCACATAAAGCATTTTACTTCAAAAAGTTTTGCGAGATCCTTAAAAATATATTTGTATATATATTTTTAAACTGTATAGCATGCTGATGAGTAATAGGTGTGTATTTCCCAATTGTATGTTATGTATGGGATTTTAAAATGTTACCATCTAGATCCTAGAAGGAGGAGGATAAAGAGGCTCCTGTAAGCAGCAGACTGTAAGAATGTAAAAACACTTGTTTCACTTTCAGTGGCAAATTTATAAATCTTTGAAGGGATAGGAGATGGTGTACACTATTTTCCCCCCAGTTTTTTTTTTTTTTAATCAGGTTTGGATTTTGAAGCACTGGTTTATTTATTAGATGGCAGAAGTAGAAGCATAGAATTAGAATAACCATATAATTTATCATGCAGCCCAGAACACTTTTCAGAGTGAGTTGGGGATGCTGTTAATTATTATTCCATGATGACAGGCCTAAATTTGGACTGCTCTGGGAAAAATGATCACATATGGCCACTTTGTCTAGAAGATTCTGTTTTTTTCTTAATCTTCTATTTGTTGTTACTATTTTTTTTTTAGACTTTATTTTTTTAGAGCACTTTTAGGTTCTTAGCAAAATTGAGTGGAAAGTACAGAGATTTCCCCTGTACCCTCTGCCCCACAGATTTGTAGCCTTCCCCAAAATCAATATCCCCCACCAGAGTGGTACCTTTATTTGTTAAAATTAATGAACCTACATTCATGCATCATTATCATCCAGAGGCTGTAGTTTACATGGACTTTTTTTACTTTTTAACCAGCAAGGTTAAAAGTGGCTTTACGGACTCAGAAATAGGAACTGACTATAAATGAATAGTATTCTTTCATTTGGAAAGACAAAGACTTAGAAATGACTTATAAAAATAAATAAGACTTGAAGGGGATAGGGTGATACAGTTGTCCTAGAACTAATCATGCTATCTCTGAATTTGAGAGATGAGTTTTGAGGCAACATTATCTATATAAGTAGATATATACACGTGTGTGTGTGTGTGTGTGTGTGTGTGTGTGTGCATCCTGAAATTTCATGCAGCAAGAACTGTATAGTTGTATAACTCATTGTCTCAGGTTATATATGGGCATTACTTTACAAAAGTTGGAGAGACCTTAAAGATTGCTAAATCCATATCAGGTATCTAAGAGGATCGAGTACATTGCACAAAAGTGTTTTCTAGTGACAGAATGCCTTGCTTTAAAGACTGAGGGTTAATGCAGAATCATAAGGAATAGATGAAAGTACCAGTTCAGCATGTAGGTGGTAGGAACTAACATTTATTGACTAGTTATTACCTGATACTACAAATGGTTTTGGGTGCTGTTATATAAAACTGGAAGGTACCATATTATGCCTACGATACGGAAGTGAGGAAACTGACCTAAATATCTTGCCTTAGGTCTACTCATATCTGAACAGATTTAGTGTCAAACCTTTTTGACTCTAAAGCAGCAATTATCAGTGTATATCATGTCACATGATGTATCCAGGTTATCTTTTAAACCAGTGCATTATCAGGTGCAGTAATCTTACCTTTTAAATTCCTCAGTTTAAATATTTTAACTGTGTCAGCTCTTACTGAGTACTAAACAGACTCAATGTCTAAGGTCAGACGGTCTTGCAGGTCAGATGGTCTCTATAGTGAATATTTAACTCTACTCTTGAAAATAAGATGTTATTTAGAAAAATAGGTGGCAGGCCAGATTTGTGCTGTGGGCTGTAGCTTGTCAACCCCTGAACTAAAAGCTGTGGCTCTTGGTGCTGGAAAATGGAGCTGGAAACATTCCTTGCATGCATGGTGCCTTTCCTCTTTCCAATGTGTTAGCAGTTTAATGAAATACTTCCTTATTCTTAATTCATGCTCCCTCTGTGAAGTAGGAAAAACTATTGGTATGAGTTATTTCTTAGTGACCCTTACTTTCTGCCTAGTTGTATTTTTAACATACCTCCCCCTTTAAAAAATTTACCTCATTTAACCAATGTAGTCGTATGTATTTGTATTGGGCTTGCATTGCTGCATGTCCACCAAAATCATACATATTATTCTTGAGGAACTTTGTATTTTGATTGCTTAGAGCTTTGCTTTAGCTTAGTCTCCTTTAGAAAAGAGTTCTTGTATGCTTTAGTCTTAAAGGTGTGGTACTTGGTTTCTACCAGTGTCCATACGAAGGCTCTAAAGACATTTTGGTCCAAGAAACTTAAGATTCCTTTACTAAGTATATATTCGGCCACACCTAATATAGCTTCTACTATTAATACTACTTTACTGCTGCCACGAGCTGTCAGTTCTTGGATCACTAACAACCATACTAAACACTTACTCATCGCATTAAATACTCAAATGGCCATTCTACACAGGGAAACTTGAACTCAGCGTGGTTTCGTGACTTCCACAATACCACACAGCTAGTAAATGTTTGAATGGACATTCCAGTCTGTATCTCTGTTATCCCACTGTGGATCTTTTTCTCCATGGTACTGTTTTCACACTTCCCCTCAGTAGTCAGATATATATTAGGATGTTCTCAGAAATATTGTTGACCTGATTAGTTATTTTTCTCTCCTTATTTATTCAGCAATCACTTGTTGAGTGCCTACTTAAAACTTTTCAGTGCTTTTTCCATTACCCATTATTTAAATACCAAACTTTTAAAAACAACTTTAAACAACTTCGAGTTATATGTCACCATAAAATTATATCGTAAAAGTCATTTCCAGTGTATAATTCAATGATTTTTAGTAACTTTCTGAATTGTGCAACCATCATCGTAAATCAGTTGTAGGATATTTCCATCCCCTCAGTAAGATTCCTCATGACCATTTATAGTTAATCCCCATTCATACCACTAATCTTCCTGTTTTTAAATTTGCCTTTTCTGGACGTTTCATATAAATAAAACCATACAATTATGTTGATCTCTTTTGTTTGGCATCTCTTCCTTCTCATGTGTTTGAAATTTCGTCCTTGATATAATGTGTATCAGTAGTTTGTTTCATTTCCTGAATTGTCTTCAATTTTATGGTGTACCACATTTTGTCTTACCACTCCCAGTTGGAGGAACTTTGTTGGTTATGGTTTTTGGCTATTAGAAATTATGCTGCTATGAATATTTGTATGCAAGTCTTTCTGTGGCCTCATGGTTTCATTTTTCTACGAGTAGAATTGCTGAATTGTATGTTGTTTTTATGTTAAACTTTATGAGAAACTGCCAGACTTTTTCCCAATTTAGTGTACCATTTTACATTCCCATAAGCGGTGTGTGAGGATTTCTGTAGTTTTAATTTCCATTTCCCTAATGACTAACGGTGTTGAGCATCTTCTCATGTGCTTATTAATCACTCACATATCTGGTGAAATTTCTGCTCCTGTTTTTTGTCCATTTTTTTTGATTCAGGTTGTTTGTCTTTTTATTATTGAATTGTAAGAGCTTTGTATATGTTCTGGATACAAATCCTTCACCAGATACATGTTTTTGCATATGTCATCTTCTGCTCTTTTGCTTGTCTTTCCATTTTTTTAAATGTTGTCTTTGGAAGTTCAATAATTTTTTATTTTAATGAGGTCCAGTTTATTGTACTTTCTGGTATAAAATTCTGTGGCCAGCTCAACGTCTTAAAAGATTTTCTTACATGTTTTGCTCTAAAAGGTTTATTGTTTTAGTTCTTATATTTATGTGTATGATTTTTTTGGTTAAATTAGTTATTGTGTGAGGTGATGGTTCATTTTTTTGCATGCATCGTTTTCCCCCAGCAAACTTTTGAGATGTTCAGTGTACATGTCTTATGTGTCTTTTGTTAACTTTGTTCACTGGTGTGAGTTGAATTGTATTCTAGGTTTATTTTTGGATTCTTCCTTGCTTGTTTATAGAAATACAATTGATATTTGTATATTGATCTTGTATTCTGCAAATTTGCTGTATTTATTTATTAATTCTAATAGTTTTGGATGGTTCCTTAGGATTTCCTATATATAGGATCATATCACTTGTGAATAAAGACAGTTTTCCAATCTTGATGCCTTTTATTTCTTCTTCTTGCCTGATTTCACTGGCTAGAACCTCCACTACTGTGTTAAATAGAACAGGTGAAGAGCACACATCCTTGCCTTGTCCCTGACCCTGGGAATACAGTGTTCCTCTTTTACTTTTAAGTGTGATCATTGTAGGTTTTTCATAGATTTTTTTTTTTTATTAGGTTTAGTTCCCCTCTATACCAAGTTTAAGAGTTATGTCTGAATGAGTTTTGGATTTTGTTAAATGCTTTTTCTATGCTTATTGATGATCATGTGGTTTTTATCCTTTATTCTATGAATATGGCATGGTACATTGTTTTTTGGATGTTAATCCAATTCCAGGGATAAGTCCTACTTGGCATTGATTTGGTTTGTAAATGTTTCGATTGAGGATTTTTGCATCTATATTCATGAAGGATATCTGTTATTTTCCTTTCTTGTGATATCTTTGTTTGACTTGTTACGGTGATATTGACCTTATAACATAGGTTGGAATAGCTTCTGTTTTCTGGAAGATTTTGTGAAGTATTGGTATTATTTTTTCACA